TCTCAAAGTAAAAAAGAGGACCTGCGAAACTTTATACAATGTCAGACACGCAGTGAATAGTACCGGTATGTTTTTGTAATACATGCAGTTCCAGTGGCTTTGCTTTCTGAGAAAAAAAATCTGGCTCTGCACTGAAAAAAAAAAAAAAAGAACATTTAGCCCAAAGTAAGCAGAGGTTGTAGCATATGTGCTCCCATTGGCTGTTAGATTTAATTAAAAAAGATATTTGAGTCTTTTTAGTACGAAAAAAATATTACTTAATAAATTTATACCAGCCAGAAAGAAATTGCAGTTCACACTGTACTATTTTAAACATGTTCTACCAAAGTCTAGGATGAACTAATTCAACAGTCTGTTTCCACTCTACAAAGTTGTCAAATTTACGGGATTCTGCAAAAATAAAATATTAAGAATGTGCAAAAAGCCAGAGTACTTGTGTTTTCAATGTCATTAAAATCTGACCAGGGATATGCCGAAAATTTCACTTGAGCTGAACCAAATGGATGCCAAGCTATCAAAAGAAATAAAAAAAAACTATTGAGAAAAATACAAAAAAATACATTTAATATAAAAGCAGATAGAAGTGCATAAAAAACTAATCAGCAGAGGTAGTGATCATGTAACCTAAGTGTATATCAAATTTCCTTTGAACTGGATTGCATTGTCTCAGATTGGCTGCTAATTTGCATATTAATTTGCATACTAATTAACATATTGTAGTTGTATTAAAATAATATACAAAATAATATCCGGAGTTTTGAAAAAAAATTAAGTCAACATCATTAAAATTGAGGATTACCTGAATTTGACCCCCTCCCTAAAATTGTTTCACATGATTTCGATCCAACTCGCACCAAAACCAACTCGCACCATACCAACTCGCACCAGACCAACTCGCACCAATGCTAACTCGCACCAATGCCAACTCGCACCAAACCAACTCGCACCACGATCATATTTCTAAGCATTTGTGTGGTTCGCTTTGTCCCTTTGTTGCTAGGGACGTTTCTTGGATAATAAAAAATTACCTAAAGTCGGGTCTGCTTAGTTAATCAGCGGCAACCGGTACAACCGCCTATGAGTGGGAGGCGAACGTACCGGCGACTGACTAACCATGCCAACCCTACTGTAGGTCATTTTTAAACTCAAAGAAAATGGACTGGCGATTTCCGGTAAAGAACTGCATTTATATCGAATTAATCACGATCAAAAGTGAAACTGACTGAAACCTGACAAGAAGTCCGCCATCGGGGCGCTGATGGAGTGCGTGGTGGCGGGGTTCGACGACAGACAATGGAAGACTACTGTAGTAATTCAAAAAC